TACACACTCACATGCATCTACAATATGCTTGATGGCCTTAAGTAGACAGATTAAACGATGTGATGACTCAGAACTCAAGATCATTTGAAATTATACTATGAAGGACTATTTTTCTCTTATTGAAAACAGTGGGTGATTTTACTATAATGTTTTATTTTTAATGCGTTTTTAACTAGTGATGCTGCTACATTACCAGTGACTGCATTCCAGTCCTCTCAAATATCTAAGCTGCAGTGTCATTTTGACGGCCAAGCTGTGGCAGGACCAAGCAATGGAAGATTTAAAAACCCTTGCAGGAGACAGAGGACTTATTGTTGGGTATTAAGCCTACTGCTCCATATGTGAATAGGTTTTAGATATAGAAGTTTGGTAAATATTGGTGGTGAATTGATTTTCTCTTGTGCCAGGAAAGCAAATATAACATTTTAAATTAAATCAAAACCCTGTATTTTCAGAAATGAATGAAGACTTCCATTGTTTGCTTCCTTTTTCAATGACTAAAGTGTGTCACTCATGGCAACTTTATCTGAATGTATCACAGTATTGGAGGAAAGGGTTAAAAAAAGCTAGAAAATTAGAGCATTATAAAGGTCTAGATCCTGTGCTATTCAATGGACTAGCCACTAGCCACTAGTCACCTGTGGTTTTTAAAATTTAATTAATTAAAACTAAATAAATTTTAGAAATCCGTTACCTCAGTCACACTAGTCACATTTAATTCCTCAAGAGTCACAGAGCTAGTAGCTACCTTTTTGTACAGCACTGCTATAAAACATTTCCATCATCACAGAAAGTTCTAGAACAGTACTGTTTTAGATTGGGGGTTGGCAAACTTTTTCTTAAAGGCCAAAGAGTAAATATCTTATGCTTCGTTTGGCGGTATAAGCTCTGTCACAACTCAACTCTGTCATTGTGATATGAAAACAACCACAGACAATTTGTAAAGGAATGGGCATGACTGTATTTCAGTAAAACTTCATTTACAAAAACAGGTAGTCAGACTTCGGGCCATAGTTTGCCAACCCATGTTCTAGACTCTTTAAGAGAATAACTAAGTCTTAGTTTAAAAATCTGGGATTGTTTTTGTTATTAGGTGCTGTTGAGTAAATTCCAACTCATGGCAACCCCTTGTGTTACTGTGTAGAACTGCTTCTTAGAGTTTTCTTGACTGTAATCTTTACCAAAGCAAATTGACAGGCCTTTTCTTCCAAAGTACCACTGAGTGGATTAAAAATCTGGGGTAGGAAGAGCAATATCTTTCAGGTCTCTGTCTTTAAAGTAACCAAAGGGTTAATATCAGAGTGATTCTATTACAGCCCATAAAATCCTATTTCTACATCAGCATCTGGCCAGGGTAATAGTGAGCCTTCTTAGCAATCTGTGCGTGTAAGCCTAGAGCCAGTAACAAGAATAGTTCAGCTACATGTGTCCTTTAAAAAGATGAAAAATAATATTTAACTAATGGCTCCACAGTGCCTGCAGCATGTCTTTTAGATTAGGGAAATGATCTGTTATATTCAAATTGTATAGAATTTGAATTAAAATAATAAATTTGTATTTGAGGGGGAATTTTAGCAAAGAATGATAACATGATCTATAGCTGATTGTGAATAGAGTTTGGAACAATTTTCGATTAAGACGGAGGGATAGTAAGATAGGGTATTTTGCTGAGTAATCTATCTAGATAGCATCTTTTGATCTGAGATCACTAATGGCCTACAAGGAATGCTTTTAACTTGACCAGATGATTCACAAATGGTTTTTTGAGTATTGGTATTAACTCTAACAAGTTGCCATCAGTGCTTTCAGTTTTTCAAGAAAATTTCATTTAGTGAAGTTCAGTTTCAACTGAAATGAACTTACTGACTCCTAAGTCCACAGAGGTATTCCCTGTCTTTTTGGGGTACAGTTCTAAATTCTCTGTCAATGTAATTCTGAACTATAAATCCAGTTCTATCAAAGAATAATGATAAATTTAGGAAGAGAAATCAATAAAGTAATTATGATAATAATAGGCAACACTTTAAAAATATATGCTTAATACACACACACACCTCCAAATAAGTAGAAGTAAAACTGGGGAAATCTGAGTAAGATTGGTGGATTGTATCAATGTCAATATCCTGGCTGTGATATTATACTATAATTTTGAAAAATGTAATCATCGAGGGAAACAGGGCAGAGTCTACAAGAGATCTCTCTGTATTATTTCTTTACAGTTACATATGGATCTACAATTATCTCCATAGAAATTGTAATAGAAAAACATGAACTTAAATTCTAAAGCTGATATAACATAGTGTCATATATATTATCTGAAAAAATAGTAAAGTTTAAATAGATTACCATATTAATAGATCCAAACAAATGTTTCTTTTTCTGGATCATTTATACTAGGAGCCTACTGGAGTCATACATAGATGTGGTTAAAGAACATTATACAATTCAGAGGTTTGTCTCTCCCGTGTAAATTTTTCATGAACGGTGAAGTTATTCCTGGAGAAAACTACCTAGAGGAGGAGCTTAAGAAATTTGTACATCAAGAGGAGGTTGTTCTAAACAATTTGAAAAGCTTGAGATAAATTCACTTAACACAACCCTGATTGAAAATTTGTTTTCTTGAGATTTCATCAATTTAAGTATGTTAATTATATTAGAGATTTCAGGATTTCTCAAGGCCTTATCCCTGCCTCCCAGGCAGGTGAAGGAAATATGAATAAATATGACTGGAAGCTCCAATTACCATACCTGATTAATAACAATATACGACTTGATATTGGAAATACTGCTTTAAAATAATCCCAATAGGAGATGACTAAAGGGTTTTCCAATGATTGTGCAAGTCAGAACAAGGGAGAGTCCAAAGAATAACAACCTGAGTGCTTGGTAAAAGTTGTGAGAATAGAGAAGCATTTGGACTAGATCCTTGATGGAGTTAGGGTTAATTAATAGGGCTGAGATAGAGAAAAGCACCATAATGCTCTTTATTTTTTGCAGAATTCAAGGAGGCATTTCTCCTGTTTGACAGGACAGGTGACAGCAAGATCACTTTAAACCAGGTTGGTGATGTCCTTCGGGCTCTGGGCACAAATCCCACCAATGCAGAGGTCAAGAAGGTTCTGGGAAACCCTAGCAACGAAGGTAACCACATCAGTTTTTCCAAGAAGCATGGAAGTAGGAAAGTGTGTGTGTCTGTGTGTTTATTGAGAAATAAGTTTCACATAATAGGGCTCAATTTGCTTATGATGGTGCTGAGTGTGCCTCTTGGCCACTGAGCGTCTCAGCTCTTCCTCTCGTAAAATAAATTAACTTTCTTTTGAGAATTTACAAGATAAAATGCCATACTAATGAAAGGAAATGATCATCATCATCATCTCTAATGCTCATAATTTAAAGGCTAATGAAATGAAATCCTACTCAAATCAAAATCATTTTTTAGACTTCAAACCTTCATGGACATAAGTACATTTTGACAAAGACGTTAAACGGCTAACACACAATGCACTTTGTAAACAACTCTGAGTAAATCATAATGGCACCCTTCTAGAGAAGACCTACACTTCGATAAAAGCAGTGGAAGTGAAATCACAGTGGTTTTTACCTGACTGAAAACACCTCCTGACTTTGTCTGTGCTCTGTCTTTTGACTTCAGTGGCAATCTTAAAAGAAATTTAGCTATCATAATTAAGAATAGACAGAATGACATCCTAATAGGAGTATTTTCTGTTTCCAAAAAAATTACATAAAAACTTAAACATCTTAAGCCAAAACCTCCTTTCAGCTCCCCATGGTAAATTCTGGGACAAAAAAAAAAAAAAATAAAAAAGCACAAGACCGAAGTGACAAAATTGCAAGAGTCATTTGCTCAATACAGAAATCTTGTCATGAAAATGCTTCTTCTTCTTTTTTTTTTTAATCCCAGTGGCTCATGGCAT